TAACCACTGGGCCTCCACCGTGCCACCATCCTATCGTTGTAACTGCCACCACCATTCCCACCTTACAACCACCGCGGTGCCACCACCCCCACTATCCTCAACCCCACAATCGGTAGCAGAAATTGATGAAGAGAGAAAATGGAGGCGCCGCCGCCGCCACCCCCACCGATTACTCCACCGTCAAAACCCTCTTCCTCCGCCGATCCCCTTTCTCCAAGGGTCGCGATGCCTCCAATTCACCAAACCACCACTCGACCGCCTCATCCCTGAATTCCTGGACGGTGCTGTCAAACCCATCACCCACTTTTCGTGTCACTAGCAGAAGCTTGCTCAAATCGTGGCAGTGTTAGTCTAGGCTTCGCGCTGATCTCCGCAACCTCTCCTCTAGCTGTATTTCTCGTTGTCTCTGTCGGTGGAGACGTTGGTCTCGGCATATGGCAGCGCTGTCAAACCCATCCAATTTTTGTGTCATTGGCAAAAGGTTGCTCAAATTGTGGCGGCCTTGGTCTGGACATATGGCGGCGGCGTTTATTTAGGGTTTGGAGAAAGCATAAAGGGGTAGGAGAGATGGAGAGAGAAGCTGGGGGTTGTTGGTTTTTTAAAATTACATAAATGACCAAATTATTATGAGGTGGCAGATTCAAAATGAAGGTATTCATTACACCCGATTTTGCCACATCAACCGTTAAAGTTGGATACAACTCAAAACGGCTTCATTTAATTTAAGGGCTAAACGGTAATTTAGATTTTCTGTTAACGGCCAGTGGCCCAGCAAACTCTTAACGATTTGAGAGACTAGCTTCTGAATCTCTCTCTTCCCTTCAAACCCTAACGATTAATTTGGATGTGTTAACCCTAATCCAGAGACGAATTGAGCGACCCTAGCTTCTGAATCTCTCTCTCCCCTTCAAACCCTAACCATTAAGGAAGGGAATCGATGGATAATGGATCGACGAGATGGGATTTTTGAGGGAACGAAGAGCTGACCACCTCATCGACTCTCATCATCATCATCGGAGGCCAACAATTCCTCTCGGTCAAGGCGTTTCCTTCGTCGATGCCCTCTGTTCCGCCAATTTCAACCGTTGGTGATCTTCCGGCGAGAAGGTACTCTTTTTTTCCCCGTGTGTACGTGTATGTGTGTGCGTCTGCGTGTATTTGTGTGTGAGTGAGGGTGGCCCTTGATGGATTGCAGATCCATTTTTTTGGTCGAGCTGGGCTTCTTGAAGAAGCAAAGGATATATACATATACACATATAATTGTGATACTTCATTTAATTGAACTGCATTACAATAATAATAATATATATATAAAAAAAAAGAGAGGATGCAAGCATAGCCAATTGGCACTATAACAAAAGGCCATCCTCAGAGTCGTACTCATTTGGCGGATTGGACTTCACTACAACTCCTAATCACCACCTATCTTTGACATTAGAGCTGAAACAAAGAGCCATTTGCAACAATTGTCATTTTTAGCAGAATGTATTGGCATTTACTTGATCACAGTTAGCGTGTTATAACCAAATTAATATATATATTCACTTTTTCACATGCTAGAGGGAGTCATACATAGTATGACCAAACAAATTTTAAAAAATTCAAATGCAGTTAAACAAACTATTTAATAGAATTGTTAAATTATAATTAATTATAATGGGAATTAGTAGGTACTTCAGTTAGTAGGTACTCAAAAATATATATGAAAAAAATGGTTAAGTTACTCATCTGTAAAATAATAAGAAAATATGATTGATTGAGAGTGTGGCATCGACTAGCAACTAGTAGTTCATTAGTATTTTCGTTCAGGTATATGTTCATTATTTTAATTTCCTCAGCAACCAAACGCAGCATAAAAAGAACATCACTTTCAGGGAAATTTTCAACAATTTTCTCTGCCTGACTTACTTGATTTGGGATAAATCCTTGAGGGTTTTAACGGGCGTTTTGGAGTTGCAGACATTTTTCCAGGGGATGAAATTTGATCTAAATTTTATTTCATATTGTTGCCAAACTCAACTGTTGGCCAAATATCCAATGTGAGTTCATGGTTTTGGTTATGTTCTTTTGAAAACTGTGTCCAAACATGAACTTGATCTATGTTACTATCATTATAAATTAAAATATTAATAGCCCCACAAAATTAGACTAACCTGGACCTGATACCAACTTGGACCATTTTTATAAGTTTGCTTAATTGGTGAACTAGTGGAGTTGGATATTTGGCCATGGGATATGATATGAGAGAGGGCGACCTAAGTCACCAAATCAGTGACGAGATACTGCTAATAAACGAAAGAACTTTACTTACTCGTAATAGATATTTGAATTTAAAATTACTCACGCTAAATATTCTAATTTCAATATTATCAAGCTAATATATTATAGGGAAAAGTGCAAAAAAACACTCCCTTAAAGTATTGGGATTTGGCAACTAACCCCCCTTGCATTACATAAAACCCCCGAACTAACAAATTGTTACATTTAACCCCTTTTTACTAACAATAGGGTGCCGGAAAAGTCAGAAGACAACATTACCCTCAATTAATTAACCTCTCTTTAGTTTGGGCCCCCATTTTTCTGCACAAAGAGGGGGAAAGAGAGAGAGCTGATGCCCCATCGCCAATCGATCAAAGCTGCGATTACGATTCAAATTAAAGAAATTATTGCAAGAGTTCCGTACTCATAAATTTTTTTAATTTAGAAAGAAAAATAAAAATTGGTAACTCACAACTCTAAATGATTAATATTGGATATATTTGGTAGACCAAGATGAAAATTGGAGACAATCTTAAACAAAAAAAAAATTGTTGTTAATCCATATTCAAAACTCCCATATTACAAAATTTAAACATATAATATAAATAAATATCCAAAATTCCAATGGCACCTCAACTCATCCAATAGTTTTCCACTGACGCCTGACGGGGCTCAGTGAGTCAGATACACGTGATGTGGGGGCAAAGTTGAGCTCCAAAGTAACTTAAAACTCAATGAGGAGAATGCATCGGATCTATTCCCATGATTTTATGGTCAACCGTGGGCTTCCAATGAAATTGTTGTTGGAGGAGAATAGATATGGGGTGCTCATATTACACAACTATAAGAAGAATAGATATTGGGGGCGCTTTGGGCACTGGGCGCATTAGTGCGTATAATATATGGATGGTTTGAATAAGCACGGTGCATGATGTACCGAGCACATCTAATATTTATTCGTATAAGTAGGAGTTCCAAGATCAAGGTGTTTATTAGGACAAAAATCAATACCAAATCTCAATTTGGATGTTTGGATAGGTTGAGGCTAAAAGTTTTTTTGTTTTTTTATTTTTAATATCAGAAAATACATTGGATAAAAATAAAAATAAAAATAAAAAAGTAAAATAAAAAAATACTACTTATCTTGAGTAGTTTTGTGTTTGGCAATTTGTGTTTTGTCTCATGAAAATTTAGCAAAAATTGTACTCGATTCAAGATAGATGAATTGCACATGTTAATAATTTAAAAGAAATTGGTTGAAAAGCTCAACTTGTCACACAATCCAACCAGTCAAATTGAGCGAATTTATACTTATCTATGTAATAATAGTTGAAATTCAACTCAAACTCAACCCAAACGACTAAAAGATCTATCAAAACTTGTTGAATGATTCGTCAATCTCGATTCGGCTTTAGATTGGTTCAAGTTGAATTCCTAACCTAAGAAATTCAAACTTATCTTTTTGTAATAATAGTTTAAATTCAACTCAAACCAACTCAAACGATTCAGGAACTATCAAAATTTGTTCTATGATTTGTTCGGCTTGATTCGACTTCAGTTTGGTCCAAGTCAAATCCCTAACTTAAAAAAATTTAGGACTTCACATCATAAAAAAAAATTCAGAGAGTACATAGACTAAGAAAAAAACACATTATTTCGACTAACTAGATACATGTCTAACTTGAAAAATAAAAAAAATAAATAAAAAGATGAAAATTAATATTTGGCAATATTCATGCACAAAAAACCTACCACTCACACTATTTGTGCAATTTGGCAATATTCATGAGTTTGTGATAATATTCATGAGTTTGTATATCACACTATTTGCATCTAAGTGGTATGATTCTATGTTATAAGTAGTGATTAGTAATATCGAAAAAACAAATATTAGGATATTTTTCTTAATGTAATATTATGCATTTAATTTTTTTTATAGTTTTAAGATGGTGGTGTAAACTGAATTTAGGGATTTTTTTTATAGTTTTGGTATTTGTACTTGGAAAGGATTTTAGGCACCTATTGTATGTCTGCCATGTGTGAACCTGCACTGTGCTTATCTATCTATAGATTCTGAAGAGTCAACTTTTAGGGCCCGTTTGACGTATGCTTTGTTTTTGCTGTAGGAGTGTTTTGGAAAAAATTCGGAAGCTCGTTTGGGAACGATGTTTTGCTGTGGAAATATCGAAAGCAAAAACATGCAAAACATGTTTGGTAAGTCATGCGTTTCAAAATTTTTGAAAACAAAACATGTTTGGTCAGTCCAACTGTTGTAAAAAAAAAAAAAAAAAAAAAAAAAACAAAAAAAAAAACAGAAAAAAAAAAACATGTTTGGTTATCCTTGTTTTTTATTTGTTTTTATAAATTTTATGTATATTTATAAATAGTTATCATATTTTTAATAGATATGGAGAAATTTGAACCCACAAACATATATATATAAATTTTTTCAATAAACTATTTACAAGTTGTTTGAAATAACTCATCTCAATTTTATTATCATTATACATGTATAGTTCAACACAACATTAAAAATAAAAACATTTCTAGTCACATTTTACTATACTACATGAGAGTCAACCTTTGTAAAAAAAAATTAGCAATAACCTATTTACAAGTTCTTTGCAATAACCTGCTTCAATTTTATTATCATGTTATCTGTATAGTCCAACACAACATTAAAATAAAAACAAACCCAACTGAAAGCATAATTGAAATAGAGTGTATACTATTTACAAGTCTTTAAATATTCAACCAACAAATTAAACAAGTTTAAGTTGTACATAAAATGTTTGGAACAAAGCATTAACAATACATAGTTGTCAGTAAAAATTGATAAGAAGTTCATAAAGTGGATGACAATGGCAACGACACATCATCTTCATAACAGCACATGTGGCCTTTAAGAGAGCATCAACACACTTCATATCTGCAATAATAGCATTTAAGTTGAATTATATATCTGCAAAAATGATTTATATTACATATATATATTACAAGCTTACAATAAAGAGAAAAAATATTACATTCTTTTATATATGACATATAAAAGAAAAAATATACCATCACTTTCAGAAGGATCAAAAGTGCTAAAGAGAATTCCAAATTCGATCAGCAATAGTATTACGCAACTGATCCATTTCTCGAAGCTGAGCCGAAGGCACATGCTCAACAATCTCATCATCTTCACCATCACTTTGAGGAGGATCGTTACTATCAAATAAATCATCAGACTGATGCTGATTTCTGATGAAATTGTGTAATGTGCAACAAGCCATTACAATCAATACTTGTGTTGAAAACTTATAAGGAGGCATTGCCCTCAAAATAGCGAATCTCATCTTCAACAACCCAAAGCATCGCTCAATTATATTTCTCAAAGATGAATGCCTATGATTGAACACTTCCTCCCGACCACGAGGTTGTCTAGTCCTACGATATTCCTGAAAGTGGTAAGTATGACTTCGAAATGGAGCCAAATAACCAGGCTTGTTGGCATATCCTGAGTCCACTAAATAATACTTACCTGCCATGTTTAAAATACATAAAGATATATACAGTATGATAAACTAACCATATATTAAGTGAATTTGTAAGATAATATTACCTGCTGGTGGAGCTGGAAAGTTCATTGCCTCATTCTCAATACACTCCTTTAGGATTCTCGAATCATTAGCGGAGCTTTCCCACCCAGCTAGCACATATGTGAACCTCATGTCAAAGTTACATACAACCATTACATTTTGTGTGGTATAACCCTTTCTACCACGAAATGAAAGTTGTGTACTTGCTGGCAGAGTTACAGGAATGTGGGTTCCATCTATAGCTCCCACGCAATTCTTGAAGTAAGGGAAAAACCTAGAAGACTCTCTAATCTTATTCGGAATCACAGAAAAATCAGGAGGGGCAATGATATGGGTGCCCAACTGACATACTACATGTAACACAGCATGGAAGTGTCTGGAAATGGTTTCAGTGGAGTGTTGAAATCTCTCAGCTACAACACGATTCCTTTGATTATGAGATAAAGTGAGCAAAAAGATTGCCACTTGTTCATAAACAGTTAAAAATTTAGAATCTTTCAGCCCTATACCTTTCAGGGTACTACACAATATTCTAAAAACTTCAGGGTACATCCTAAAATTTTCATAACATCTTTCTCTGTGGCCGTTTAAAATCTCCATAACATACGTTTCCCTTTGTAAAATGGAATCCCTACAACGCCTTTTTTGATAGAAGTTCTGCTCTTCTAAAAGAGTAGCAAATATTAAGACACTCTCATTGTCCTCCTCATCGTCATAAAATTGAATTATTCTTCTTATATGGTTCCACATATCCATTGCCCTATTTAAAGATTTAATAGAAGTAAAGCATTTAAGTTAATAAGCAAAACAATTAAATAATAAACAAAATATTTAAATAATAAACAAAGCATTTGAGTTAATAAGCTTAACATTTAAGTAATAAATAAAATATTTAAGTTAATAAGTAAAACATTTAACGTAATAAGAAAAACATTTAAATAATAGCAGTACAGTCATCCAAGAAATAAAAGTATTTAGTTATTACAGTCATCCAAATGTGAGATAGTAATAAGTTAAATAAACAACAAAACACAATCATCCATAAAGAAAGACTCAAACATTCAGTGCCCAACCAATTCTTATCTCCTCAGGAGAACTGAGAAAAAATTTCAGCCATTTCTCAGAATCATGTAACAACTTCGATACCTTAGCAAATTGGGCCATCTCAATTCCAGGTATTTTTTGTAAAAGGAGCATGCAGGCTTCAAACATTTCATCATCTTTATCCTTTTTAGAGGGAGAGAGAACTTCATCATCTCCTTTCTCACATGAAGATACACGAGTAGAAGTAGAAGATGCTTTAATTGCTTTCTCTATTGCAGCTTCCATTCTCTCAGTTCTCTTCGCAGAATTCTCATCCATGCCTGACAAGAGTGCAGCCATACTGGGAGATAAACTATCTCTTTTGGCTTTCTTACCTTTATGTAAAGGTGGGGGACTGACATGACAACCCTCTTTCTCATCATCGTCATCATTGGGAGTGGGCAAAATGATTGTGGGGGGTGCTGTAGTGGAGGGGTGGGCATGCATTCCTGTTGCATATGTGTCCCCAAATATAGTCGACATCTTGTCAAAATGCTTATATCCATATCTACGAAACTTATTTGTACCCTTAATAACCTACAAAATTTTGTTACAATATTAACCTCATAACAAATAATATACGATATTTTATTATTTATTTAGGACTAATAATTAAATTACTAACCTTGCTCAACCTGCCCCATCTCTCTTTCTCAACTATAACCATGCCCGTCTCATGGTTATATCCCACTCCAGTCTCCGATAACAATTTCTTAAACTCGATATAAATTGTCCTCAATTGGTTAAACTTATTCCGAAGTTGGGTTTTGTCAAATTTTGTCCCTGTTTGAACCTTCATTTCTTTTACCATAGTAGTCCAACCTTTTGGATTAAATGTTGTGTCAGTACGATTGCCAGCCCTAACTTGTTCTTCCATAATATTACAGAATTTTTCAGTAAGTGAGTCATCCCATAACACTTTTCCATCTTTCGTAACTTCAGCCACCCCTTCTTCTTCAATTGCCAGATATTCACCACATTGTTCTACATTCTCAACATTGATATCCATCTAACAGATTAATAACAACACTATAATTAATAACAACAAAAATAATATATATTACTTCAATAACTCATACTATTACTTCAATAACTCAAAGCCATATAAGTTCAAGCATCTCATGAGTTAAAAGTAGTAATTCAATTGGGGATCGAACTTGAGAAAAATAGAAGAGAAAAATAGATCTCTAGCAGCAATTCAAGCATCTAATGAGTTAAAAGTAAAATAATTGGGGATGGAACTTGAGAAAGAGTGTACCAAACTGGCTAATGTACAGCTAAAATTACAAGGTATTTCCTATTTTTTATGATCTAGTTGTGGACATATACATATTCTCATCTTGAGTTTTTGGTCTGATATTCTATTTTTGTTCCTAGAGGAACAGAAGTTGAATGGATCTTTTCAGGAGAAGCTTAACTTACTAAAAGTGGATAATAATAAATTAAGTTTTTACTTGGTTTCTTATCTTCTCAGAGTGATGGCTAGTTTGGCCTTTTAACAACTGATTAGTTAAAGTTAGCTAGAATTTTTCATTTTTAGAAGCAAATTCTAGTAAAATTGATATTTTTTGGGACCTTTCCTCGGCTAAATTCGGATCTGGGCCTGAGCCATTGGAGGGATTCTACCAATGGCTCAGCCTAGATCCGAATTTAATGAATGATTTCTTACTATTTTCTTAGAAGCCACACAAAATGTATAAAATAATTAAAGTTGAAACAAATAATTCTTTATATTATTTGGCACTAAACCTGTGAACAGATTGGATAGGAAGTGGATGATGGTCGATCCGATCTATCCGTCAGATTTTCATTTAATAAATCCATATCCCATGTTGACTTTATTGGATGTCCAATTTGATTGGTTTAGATATTTCACTTTTTCAGAAATAATGCAAAACAATTATCCTACTCTTACCTGAAGAAACTAAACATTCAACATGGCACGGTTAAGAAAAGATGACCTAAAGAATGAGAGAATAAGCTAACAGAATACTCACAGTTGAGTTATTAAAGTTTAAGTGGTACATTGTGAGTTATTATTTTTGTACATATAATACAAGGAATGGGTATTGCATCAAAATATATGCAGTGCACCCACCTCTTTTTGGCACTCAGTTAAAGTTCACTGCTCTCGCTCTCTCATGCACTACTCACACGCTGATAGCTAGAAGAAAAGAATTCATGTGACCCATTGTCACCCACTCCTAGAAGAAAAGAATGGGTAGTTTTGATTCCATAGTTTTACTGGTGTTTCCTGGGTTAGATAAGACTTTGGAATCCAATGCAAAGAGTGGATCAACCAGGGACAAGGGATTGAAGAAGACAAGGGCGAAGTTGAGGCAGGCTAGTCTACTTCAGGAGCAGTCTAGGCAAGATCAAATGTCAAAAGAAGGCATATCCCAGCATATACCAGAGTCTCCTGGACTTTATTCACCCATGGATTTTTCTCCATATCAAGATAATAACTGTGCACCTTCTGCTGGGAACTCTACAATTTCTACTCATTCAAAGGATGAAGATTTGGTTGCTACACGAGAAGAAGATGATATCAAGGAAGCTGACAGCAAATATAGAAAGCCAAATGAGAATGGTTCCATGAGTCACGGTGAAAGTAGTTGTGTTGCTGATTATCTGTCAGAAAAGTTTGTTTCTAGAGTTGAAACTGAATGCAGTAATGCCAAAATTGAGCAGGTCAGCATCAACGGCAGTGCTGGTGCTGTGGAAGATAAAGCTGGTGTGTGTTCAAATATTAAGAATGAAGAAAGTGATTGTAGAAAACAGTACCGTTTTGCTTCAAGTTCCAAAGATACAGGTAAAAGAGATTTTACCTTTTCGGCAATCTCTCCAAAAGCTAATGTATCAGCAGTAAAGCGTTAAAACAAAAAGAAATATAGGATTAAAGTTGGTCGAGTTTCTAATTCTACTACTCCAAGTCAAAAACTTGAGTTTTCATCTTCCTCGGTCCAATTTTCGCCCCTTTCGTGCACTTCTTCTCGGCTCAATGCGGCACAGGATAAAAAGGAAGAAAAATTTGAATTCCAGAGCAAAAGGGAGAATAAATTTAAAGCATTTGAAGAGCATGTCAAGCAAGCGCCTGCCACTGCTGCAGCTCAGGATGCATGTGAGAAGTGGAGAATCAGGTGCTTCTTGCATTATAGTAGTTCATTGGCTTCTGAACTTCCTTTGTCTTTCAAACTTTTCAATTAAAGAGTAGTCTTAAATACTTCATCTATAGTAGGTTGCATCTACCTAAATGGTTTTATTTCTATGAGATATGATCATCATATCTTTCACTTTGGGCATTGTCAATCTTTTACTCTTTATTGAAGGGATTTGATTTTTTATCAGGGGAAATCAAGCTTATAAGAATGGATATTTGTCCAAAGCTGAGGATTTTCACATAAAGGGTGTAAATTGTGTCCCTCATAATGAGGCATCAGGATGCTGCCTTGAGCCTCTTGTGCTGTGTTATAGCAATCGTGCTGCTACAAGGATGTCTCTTGGGAGGATGAGGGAAGCCCTACGTGACTGTTTGGTGGCTGCTGAGCTAGATCCTAACTTTCTCAAAGTTCAAATTAGAGCTGCAAAGTAAGGCTTTCTTCGTGCACACTCATATTTCGTGTATGCAAAATACCTGCTGGTCATAAATTTATTTTGTGATTTATAGGAAGAATTGAAAACTGGAACCTTGATTTCGGCTAAGAAAATGAAACCTAGTAATTATGTCAGAACAAAACAGACATACATTCACAAATATAGATATGTAGCAAATGTGAATTAGGGCACGAACCCTTGAAATTTAGGAAACCCAATTACTGAAAACATATTGAGGCACCCAATAAACTATATGCCAAATTGTATAGAAAAAAATATTCTTTCTGTTAACCAGAGAACCTTCACAAAAATAGACTGGACGCAATACAAGTAGGCAAATTAACCTTAGAAATTGAGAATCAACCATGTGGGTTGAATGAGGTTTTAATGAAAAGGATCAATTGGTGGAAGCCGAAATAACACAAGAGGGGCAAGAACTGTTTCACAGAGGAAAATAAAATGGAGGAAAAGATAAAACAAGAGAGAGAGGCATGCACCTGGTTAGAGATCGTCGAAGAGATCGGCTGAAAACAGTAGTGGAATCGTCCTTCTCAGTTGTTGCCCAGCCATCGCCAAGAATCGCCCAGAATCGCCAGACCAAACGAGCAAAGCAAACCCTAGATTGTTGCAACTTTTTGGTTTTATACTTGTTGCATCCGCTACAGTTAAATGCCCGTTTTTGCTTCTTCCGCTACAGTAATTCTTACCCCAAATAAAACCAAAACAACAAAAAATACCAATTTGGTGTTTCATATTTTGGGCCCAATTTTGAAAATGTTTTACAACTGTTTGAAACACAACAAGCCCAACCAAATATGTTTTGGGCTTGAAAGAGCTTACTGTAGCAAGTCTAAAACAAAACAAAACATCTCCCAAACAGGCCCTTAGTGGATGGATTTGTGGTAAAGGAACTGTATAGTTTTCTAGTGGATTTGAACTTGCCTTATGGTTGCTATTGATTTTACTGGTAATAGACCTTCAACATTCTAAACAAATATACCATTCCAGTCGATTTTATTTTGTCTATACAGTTGATATTCCCCCTTGACTCTCTCTTGCCATTGTCTGATCACTGACATAGAAGATAGCAGAGCAAAAAAACAATATTCATAATTACCCCAAGTGTCCATACAAGCAGCTTCAATTGGAATGCTAAATAGACATTAATTGTAACTTTCTACATGTCAATTGGAATACTAAAAAGAGTGAGCAGCACACCTTCTCAAATGTCTCCCCAATGGCTTCATCACTCAATTTCTCACTTCCGCCTTTTTCAAGAATATAATCACAAAATGTAGTACTGAAATCAAACTTCCAGCGACACCAACACCCTTGTTGAAGAAAACACAAGATATTTTAAAGGGAGAATTATAAATGGCATAACTCAGAAGTCTGTAGTCCAAACCTTGAAGGAAATTGTATGATTCATAAAATAGTCATTTATGTAAGTCAGGTACTTGTGCTGTAGCTCAATTACTTTTCTAACGAAAACCTAGTTCCCACACATGAAATACTGCCAATTTATGGAAAAAATTTGCAAAAAGATATATGCAAGTTCACTAAGAGGGAAACAAAACAACCACGAAAAAAAAAAAAAAAGGAGGAACAACGCCAATTAACTAAGTTGAAAATGAAAATAAAAAATCAAGAAAACATTGTCCCAAAATCTTATTTAAACTATAAGAAACTTTATTTCCTTATCAACGTACTTTCTTTTTGAAACTCATTAATTTTTCTACTGAGCTTGAAAAGCCACTGCGTAAGGCAGTTTCACCTGTGGTGTTCTCAAATCTGGAAGTATCTATGCTTCAATAATAATTTGAAAAATCTTCATTAGCTTATATTGGGGATAAAGAGCCTACCCTTGAGTCAGATACCCTTGAGTTGCTACCTGTGGTGTTCTCAAATTTGGAAGTATCTATGCTTCAAGAATAAGTTTTAAAATTTTTGCCTACCATTAAGTCTGGTACCTTGAATCTCCCATGGGAATGCAGACTCATAAACAACTTTTATCAGTTGATCAGAATGATATAACCGGTCAATGTGATTATGAACTACTGATTTTATGAATAACTCCGTATGATAAATTAGACAGTTTTCAGTAGGGTTTTTTTTGAGGTGTTAGGCCTATTTATTTGTTTACCAAGTTGGCGATGTACAAGTTAATTGTCATGCACAGAAAGTTTTGTTCTCTGCAATCTTCTTTTTGCACATGGTAGAAAATAATCATTGATTGATATAGTGAGTGGACAAGTTAATGACTGAACTCCTTGCAGGCTATAATGGAGGTTGGGCAAGTCATACAATTCTATGATTCTGATAGGCTTTTTCCTGCTTGGGAATTTGGAGGAAGGACAAATGATGGTTCAGTATCTCATTGTTTTAACTTGGGCGGTAAAGTGGCATTGAGGTAAAAATCTCTTGCAAGGGATGGAAGAGACATTGGTGTGCTGTCGCAGGCAACCAAAAATAAAACCTATACTCCTAAAATATACATGTAGTAGTGCGAGTAAGGATCGTTCCCACAGAAAGTGTCTAGCCTAGTTT